ATGGTCAGAGTGTACACCTGTGATGACGATGGCTCAATTTTTTTATGGAGAAACCTGACTGGATTTGGTGACCCTATCCCAGTATTTGTGGCCTGGATGCAAGGATCTGTGGGGTTGTTCAGTGGCATACATGTGTATTCTCTGACCCACCTGGACACTTCTCTGTTCCTGCTTCCTAGTGGCTGGAGAGGGCATCTGCTGCCTAGAAACTCAGGGTTTCTGAGTTTAATCATTTCCCTTCTCTTTTCTTGCATTTTATTATTTTTCCACTGGACAAATTCCCATGAGGCCAGGCTGGACTTTGGCAGGCACCTTCACAAGCATGTTAATACGTGACTTATTATTACTTACAGAGATCACCACATGGAGCTGGTTACAGTCCACAAGCTGGGGAGCAGGATGGGTGGCACCATGGCAATGCCCCCTCCTGACCACATTCCCTTTGGTGTGCTGCTCTGCGCTGCTGACTCTGCTAATTCTCTGGACCCCACACAAAGGAAACACAAGCATTGGGATGGGGGCTTTAAGGGCACCTTGCCGGTTGTATGTGTGTTGGGCAGGCACTGTGAGCCTGGCTTTAGAGCCTGGGCATATTCTGACAAAACTTTCTGCCCTCTGGTGCTGCATGAGCCAATCACACTGGGCTTGTTTTTACAAGTGCTCAATGGGTCCATGGATGGGATCAGCCTCTGAGTCACTCATGGTCAATGCCATGTTAAGGCATGGCTCCATGGGGGCCCAGGCACCAGGCCCATTATTTGCAGGAGCCCCAAGACTCATGAGACAGTGATGAATCCAGATGTATGCCACATATCCCCCTGCATGGGGTGCAGATGTTCAGGAGTATAACATAGAAAAAGGACTGAAGCAGAGGCACGCAGGCAGCCATAAATGCAAGGATGCAGTGACACAGAACGCTGGTTGTACCCACTGTGCACTCAAGCACAATCACTTGCCATGTGATGAGATGGGTAGGAGGCCCAAGCAATGATGCACCCAGGGCCTACAGATGACCCTGCTCATGATACATCAGTGCTGCAGCCCTGTCCTGTCCTAGAAGGGCCTCCCCAGGTACACACCAAACCCAGAGATGGAGCTCCTCCATTGCTCTGGGACACCATCCTGCTGCCACTGCTTTGGAGAACTCAGTCTTCCGGATGCTTTACAGCAGATGTTGAGCACCCCTCAAAGCAGTGTCATCATCACATTTCCAGGTTTGGCCAGAGCAGGGGGCCACGCTCAGAATTGTCCCACCCAGGACCTCCTAAGGACACAGTGCAGACATCCCCTCAGCTTCTGCCTCAGCTCTCACAGCATGAACTTGACCAGCTTTGGAGCCTGCCCTACCCCATCCCACATGTGTGTCAGCAGTGACACCCACATGATAAAACAATGGGCAAGGGGTACTACGCATCTTGTCCTGCTTTGCCTTTCCCTGGCAGCACCATTTATTCCTCACTGTGTAGTGTTTGGAGTTCAAAGCTACTGGTGCTGTTCTAGAGGTGAAGGCAGGACAGACAGCTGTGGCTATCGTGCTGTGGCCACAGCAGCTCTGAGCACTGTCTCTCTGCCCCTTTCCTCTTGCAGGAGCTGATGTTCAACAGATGGTGAAGTCCCCTGGAGAGTACTTTACACTCAAGGACATTGAGCAGGTGAGTCCTGGCTGCGCCATACAAAAGTCACAGCAGAACTGGACAGCCATGCTCAGGGACTGACTACAGCAGCCTGGCTGACCCTGGCCTGACGGGCTGTAAGGGGAGGCTGGAATTCACATGTTGCTGTCATCACAGCCATTGGGTGTGGACATGTGACATGTTAACACCGACATAACTGATACTGATTGTTTATACCTATGTAAGTTGCACCGATATCTGGAGCAAATGCATGCCAGGTTTCCAGAGGTGGCTGCACTCAGTAGATACTCTTGGCCCTAGGTGGCTAGGAAGCTAATAATAGCCTGTTTGCATTGAGCAAAGGGATATCTGGGGATGCAGCAGACTAGAGCCCTGGACTTAACAGCAATGCAATTTATAGCAGTGAATCCAAGACTTTCCAAGTGGTAAATGTACACCACAGTAGAGTGGCTTAGCCTGGTGTTAGAATTTATGTGTCCATTCCACTTTCACACCAGTGTACAGGTCGATGACACTGCTATAAATGGCTCCTCTCTCTGCACCACTGCGAGTAAGACAAGACACGAAAGGGACATATGTGCCAGGCAAAAAAGGAGCTGTGTTCTCTAGTGCCCTGCTTGAATCCTGAAGGCATAGGTATCTTGTGTGTTATCTGGGACAGCCCTGCCACTCACATTTCTGCTCCAGGCTCACCTCTACCTACAGCTGACAGACCACCTCCCAACCTGGAGATGAAGTTCATGGGGAGCTGCTCCCATGAATGGGGGAAAGATGATAGAAACCCAGAAGTGTTTGCTTTTAAGTGTTACAAATGGGGGAGGACAGTAAGAGTGGTGTGTGCCTTCGAAGGCAGCCTGAGGTGCTGGTTGCATCCCAAAGATGCACCCATTCCCCAGCTGCCTTTTTCCATTGTACACAGGGTACAGCCAAAGGGCTCCTTGGCAGCCACATCCCACTGCCTCACATTCCCTGCACTCCACTGTTTGCTGGGGAGAGGGATGCCTGGGCCTGTCCTCTACTCTGAGCAAGGGTCAGCTGGAAGGGATGATCCAGCTCACTGAATCCTTCCTTCTGGTGGATTTTCTCCCATGGCCCTTGCCATTTTACTCTTGATATTTATTCTCTCTCTCTCTCTCTCTCTGTTGCCCACTCAAGGGTCTGGCACAACACAAGCCAGCAGTGCTCTTCATCACACATGGGGAGTCATCCAGTGGTGTGCTCCAGCCGCTGGATGGCCTTGGGGAGCTTTGCCACAGGTCAGTATGAGTGCCAGGCCAACAGCCTGGCCACAAGCACATTCATGTCAAGCAAAGGTGTCAGGTTTTTTGGTGAAACTTAGAACATCTCCCAGGAGCTCAAAGAAGGAGCCCTTTGCTCTCTAGAATCCAGCAAGGTCACAGGCATCAGTCAGCTGTTATCAGTAGCAGATCCAGGGACCAGGGAAAGTCTTGCAGCTTCCCAGCTTTGGCTATGCTGTGCATGAGCAGTGAGCTCTGAGGTGACCAGCTGGTGGGGACAGAGGGAAGCTGGCACCCAGGGGCTGGGTGGAGAATGAAGTCACAGCTGTGGTACTTTAAACCTTGTTAAGCTGAAAAAGAAAAGATGGGGAAGGGAGTAAAGGGAAAGTCAAGGCTGCTAAAAGGCCTTGTTATGCCAAGGCCTTGTTAAGCAAGGCCTTAGCAAAGCAGTCTTAGGGGTACAGGCTGTAGTCTATCCAGTTCTGGCCAACTCACATCCCACCGTGCTGTGGGTTACACTAGCTTTCCCATGTAAAGCATAAGAACAGGTGTTTCCCACTAACCATGGCGTTTCTGCTTTCCCCTGGGGCAAAGCTGTGTAGGTCCGAGTCCCTGCCAGAGCTGCTGTAGGGGTTTACTTGCCCTGAGGATGGAGGTATTCCAGAAGGGCCCTGGACAATCTAGGACTGAATCTGGGGCAGAGACAAAGAGAGAGGCTTTGGGGCATGAATACAAGCCACTTGACCTTTACTCTTCCCTTCCCCCTACTAGGTATGGCAGCCTGCTGCTGGTGGACTCAGTAGCATCACTGGGTGGTGCTCCTATCTTCATGGACCAGCAGGGTAGGGAACAACTAGTTCAGTTTGCTTATCTGGGATATTAACCCATCCCTGCCATCACTGTGCTTGAAATGCATGGGGAGGACAAGGTCCCTGCTGTAAGGGAGGCTGCGGATTACACTCTGGGGCAGGGGAGGAGGGAAAGATGGGCTGGGGGCTCTCCACTGCCATAACACTCCAGCACTAGTCTCTAGGATGACAGCAGTGGAGAGGAATTGCTTCTGGCATAAGGGTGAGCTCTTCCACAGCAAGGGCTCCTCTAGAGAACAGCCCTAAGTGTAAAAGACATAGTTCCTCTCCAAACTGGTTTAAATACAGTTACAGCCATAAATCTGCATGACTGGTGTTTTGCAAGCAGCCTTGCAAGACCCTGCAACCCTCTGCAGATGTGCCCAGGCTTCATTTATCATGATTAGGTTAAAGGACTGCCTTATGGTGCTGCTTCTATTTGCTTTCAAATGTGGGCACTTTTAAAGCACTTTATTGGGACACATACTGATCCAGTCCACCAGGTGACTAAGGGGAGCTGGCAGAGTTTAAAGGGGAGCTGGCACTGTTTCCTCAGGCTGTTGGATAATAGGTTGAGTACAGAGGAGTGGACATTAGGCAGGTTGGTGTGTCTGGCTGGTAATGGACAGCCCTGCTGAGATCCTGCTGTTTCTGACATGCATATGGAGACTGAGAGGAGATGTCGGTGTTTCTTGCTCTCAACTGAAGAGTGGCTGAAGTCCTTGAAGGGTTGGGATTGAGTGGCTGGCTTATTTGTAACAAAATGTGCAGCATTTTCTGGCATGGATGCAAATATAAGGGGGAACTAGCTGCTGCTTACCTCCAGAGGGGCAGCCCCTAGCCTTTGCTTTGTAATCAGCACTATGTTGCAAGATTTCTAACAAGCTGTTTTCCCTTTTAATATAGAGATTGACATTTTATACTCAGGATCTCAGAAAGTGCTAAATGTTCCCCCTGGCACTGCTCCAATCTCCTTCAGCGAGAGAGCCAGGTAAGAATAGCCTCACCCTCTCTCCATCATTAGGTGGGGACAGCAGTAAGACACACTCTTGGATGGAGCATCAGTTCCTAGCAAGAACCATGTGCATGGTCTAGACAAATTAACAGGGAACTGGTACAATCTGCAAGAGGATTTAAGCAGTGAACATCTGTGTCACACTAGAACTGGGCCTGGTGTGATGCAAAGGGCAAAGAGAAAGTTGCCAACAAATGCCACAGTTTCAGATTAAAGTGCAGGAACACTGAGGTTTTGTTTTTACTGCCACAAAGGTGGGGATAATTCAAGCACAATGACGATCTTGCTGTGGATTGCTGGACAGAGATGAGCGGAGTTGGTGTTCAGCAGTAGGTCAGCCTCAGCTTTATTCCCTGTGGTCCATGTTGTTTACTTCACCTCACATTAGTCCCCCGTGCCTCCTCTAGAGTTTTGAGCTGGACAATTCTAGTTATCCCATAGTAAAACAAACTGTTTTTTCAGCGTAGACAAGTAGTTCCCAGTCTTTTTTGCCTTCTTCTGGACTTGCAACCCAACTTTGGATCTGACCCCATCCATGGTAATTGAATTTTGGTGGCATATGGCCTCAAATGGGATCACGACACCTAGTTTGGGAATTCCTAGCCTAAATCTATTCTAAACCTATGGCCACTGGCACATCAAAATCCCATCTGGTCAGTGCTTCTTTGAGCCACTGGATTCCTAAGGACTTCACTGTGCAGCCAAAGCCACTGGTTACTGGCTCGGTTCTGCCCAGTCCAGTGGTTGCCCTGTGTGCTCAGACACTCAGCATTCAACACAATCACCTTTTACCTCAGCTCTAATTTATTAAGTCTACTTTTTGAGGCAAATGTAGAACCTCTGTCTTTAAGCAATATTCACTTGAATGAAGTTATCTGCTTAAACGTTGGCAAGATCAGAGCCTTATTTTCAGTATTTTGAGTTTTGGCTTAGAGCAGTTTTGAAAAATTCCAAGGAGATGACCCATTTGTAGGAGTTTAAAATCATCAGCACTTTAGCTAAGCATAGAAAGGAGTGGCAGATCAATCTCTCTTGTTCTCCATCCTCCACCAGGAGGAGCAAGCTTAAATTGGCAGTAGAATCTGCTGTGTCTGAGCAGGGAAATGAAACCCAAGGCTCTGGCTGATGGGCAGGGATCCTAGAATGAGCCACTCAGATTTCTTATGTATTCTTTGGCAGGAAGAAGAGTTTAAACAGGAAGACAAAGCCTCCCTCTTTCTACCTGGACCTGGGCTGGCTGGCTAACTACTGGGGCTGTGATGGCAAGCCAAGAATGTGAGGGGCAAGCCCTGGGATTTGAGCCCAGGTTCCATCCTGGTCCTGCATGCAGCTCCTTTACAATGGATTAATACCAAGTGAACTCAGTCTTGACTCTTACACAAGTTTTCACCCAGAATATGAACCATCTCTACCTCAGTCCAAATCAAAATGCCACTCAGCCCCAATCCTAACTTCCCTTTGCCCCAGGCCCCAACCCTCACACAAAGGAAACCTACCCTGAGCTCCAACCCCTTTATCCACCCTTATTGAATGCAAACCTAAACCTCATTCTGCCCTTCAGACACATTCATGCTCTGACTCCAGCTCAGTTCATTAGATTTTCCAGAGAAAAAATGTTGAAGGCAAGTGGACTAGAGCAGTGGGAGGCCAACATTTGTGGCAGGTGTGCTACAAATTAAGCTTCACATCCTCTCCAAATGCCACTCTGATCCTTTCCCCTGCCTGATTTCCTGCTCTGCTTTCTGCTCCCTGCCCTGTCTGCAGCTTTGATCCCTGTCCCTTCCCCAATCTGCCATGTGCCACACAGCACAGGCTGCCTCTACCATTTTTGGCCTGCATGCTGCAGGTTGGCCAATCCTGGACTAGAGAATGCAATATTTCTTGTATAGCACAAATTTATTGACACCTTGCCATCAACCTCTTTGGAGTCAGTAGATTCACTGCTGCTTTTTAGCCTTAATGCAATCCCAACCTCCAATGTCCTCATAGTAGCCTCATTTCATTTCCTATCTCTGCCCCCCACTTATGAGACAGAAAGATGTAGTCAGGATGAAGCATGGTTTCTGGTGGCTTAGCCCGTGGAATCTGTTTTGCTCTCGGTGGTCATGTCTACACAAGACACTTTAATGCACATTGCCTAATTTAATGTGCATTATGGGCACATGTTTATACATGCACATCCTTAATGTGCATTAAAATGGTGAAATTAAGCTAATTGCACCTAAATTTGATACCTTCAGCTGCAGGTATCAAATTTAGGCACAATTAGTTAAAGCACATTAATGCACATATAGACGCAACCAGGCACTAACTTTAGTGCTGGATCTACCCAGCCACTAGGGGCACAGGGCAGGGCTGCAAGGACTTGGCACTAACTTTAATGCCAAGTGCACTAACTTTAGTGCCAAGTGCACGTGTAGACACCTGCCAAAAATCGTTTAATGCGCATTAAATTCAATTGCGCTTAAATGCATGTGTAGACGCACCCATTATTGATTTGGACAGACTGGTTTGATCCACTTATGGCATGTTCTCATGAACAGTATGTTGCATGCAATTTACAGGTACCACCACACACCACCCGTCAATAACTTCTTCAGCCTGAGAGAGGGCTTAGCTATACTGGCTGAACAGGTGAGCAGCTGTGAGAGACATCCCGGGCTGTAGAACTCAGGTGGGAGGGGAGGGAAAATAAAGACATAAGAGCAGAAAGGAATATGAGATAAGAGTCATTCAGCTGTGTGTTATTTAGGGCAAATGTCTGCCATTCTAGGGCTTGATTTTTAAGTGCATCTGAGTACTGAAAGATGTAGCTTGGTATCTAAGTAGTTTTGAAAATCCCACTAGGCAGTGATCAGCATGTTTAGATGCCTAAGTCTGGCCTTTTGAGCTGCTGGAAGAACCCATCTAGACAGTCCTGAAGACTAGTCCTGTATTTAACCATAGAATGGGCAGCTGCACTACAGCGTTCTCCAAAGGGTGGGCCTTGACTGTGCCCAGGACAGTTCTCCTATTAAAGTAATGGACTTATTCAGCCTCTACAGCCATCTAGTCTGTTGCCTTCCTGTTGAGTTTGGTAAGAAGGGTGCCCTCAAGCCAATGAAGACAGGACTTGTTTTATACAGGTCATCCAATGGCCATCAGCTGATAACACATTTTGGTTCCTCCCAATCTCAGTGAGCTTCAAAGTGGTGCATCAGACTCCAAATTGCCCAATAGGGACCAACCTTTTCCCATACAGGTGAAGTGTTAAATCATATTTCTCCCTGCTCTGTCACAATGCATGACCCACAGTGATCATTCCCTGTTTAATGCTTCTCTCTCCCTTGTGCACAGGGGCTGGAGAACTCCTGGAAGTTGCACAAGGAGAACTGCCTCTACCTACATGAGGGGCTGCAGAAGCTGGGCCTCAAACTCTTTGTGAAGGAAGAGGTAGGACACAGATTGAGATTGCTGGGCACTGAGAGAGCCCTTGGAGCAGATCCCTCCCTGCTGCATTTCTAGTCATGTGGGTAGAACTCTGCCATGGAGGAGTGGTGCAGTGAGCCATGGAGAAAGAGCGCTGTGATGGGATGTAGCTCAGGACAAGCAAGGCCAAATCCTCATCTGGTGCAAATAAGCATAGCTCTAATGACTTTATCAAAGCCTTGGTAATTCATCCCAGCTAGAAATCTGGCCCCATATTTTAAAAGGCTTTCTAAGGAGGCATTCAGTACCTGAGAGACTCCCACCCAAACACAGCCTCTCCCATAGAAAGCAGTTATCATCCCAAATGGGAAGGTCTGCAGCATGACAGAGGAAGGGCATAGAGGACTGTCTGCACAAGTCCAGAGGATAGCTGTTGGCTGGACCTGACCTCCATGTCTCTGTTTTCCAGGCGGCAAGGCTTCCAACCGTCACCACCATTGTAGTGCCTGAGGGATATGACTGGAAAGAGATCACGGAGTTCCTTATGAATAAATATGCGATTGAGATCACAGGGGGCTTGGGGCCTTCAGTAGGAAAGGTGGGTACAAACTGACAGCCAAAGGCAGAACCTTCCCAAGAGGTGGGGACTGACATGAATATGTTCCCATGCAATTCTCAACAGATTAAGGACCCAGTTCCACTCTCAGTTCCCTCCACATCCATCTGGAGCAGCTCTATGGGCTCCAATAGATTTACAGAAATAGAACCACAGAGAGGAATGCCCTGCCCTAGGAGGACATTTTATGTGCTCTCTGTAGCCAACGAGCCTTGGCCTTCACCTGACAGTACCACCTGGACCACTTCTTTTCTGATGTTCCCTTATTTCTCCTCTAAGCAAGAAATCTATTTCCTGCAAAGTAATCCCAGTCTAGTATCTGGAAAGTATCAAGCAGGGCAGCTTCCTGGACAGTAATGAAATCCTTTTTGTTAGTATCCCTGGATGACCTGGTGCTGGTGTAATTCCCTTAAAAAGTATCATTGTTCTCTCATCGTGCATTTTAAATCAGGTTGCATCAGGCAGAGAGAGGCATTTCCCATGGGATTATTATTAGCCCAAATAGTTACCCTACATTGAATACGGTTGGGAAAAGTGGAGATGCTCCAATGAAATCTTTTTCACAAAGAGAGGGAAGTTCCAATAAGGGCATGATATTTCTGCTGTCTTTAGGTCTCATACACTGTGTAGCTTCTGCAAGTACCAGTAGATAGTGCCTCTTGCACTGCTCTAGGAAAATACTCAGGAGAAGTTTGCAGTCTTGTCATGAAGTTGTTGGGTTTTTTTTAAACAAAGTTGTTCTATGCAGGACTTTGTTTGGAAGAAATATGATGCCCATCCCTTCCCTAGTTGAAGAACTGTTCCTTATTTGATGCTCAATTCATCTCCTGTTGAAGGTGACAGAAAGATCTGCACCCATTTCTATTGGAGCTGGAGTGACTCAAGCCAGTGCAAGAGGCACAGCTCCAGAAGTCATGATCTAAATGTTATAATGTGCTACAGAACAAACCACTGGAATTCACCTTCCTTTCAGACTGACCTTTGCTGTTTATTTTCTGTACCGAGGTCAGATGAGATCAGCTTGACCTACAATGTGTATAGCCAGGAGCACACCTCCATTTGCCTTGGACTTCTCAAATAATACCATAAATATGTATAGGCGGTTGGCTGCAGGCAGCTTTTAGCACAGGTCTGGAGGAAGGCTTGAATTCACACTTCTGGCATACCAGCAAGAGGTGTTAATCCAGGGATGGGCAAAATACAGCCCACGGGCCAAATACAGTCCATGGAGTGACTTTGTCTGGCTCACCGTGGGTCCCTCAGTCTCACCTGGCCCAGACACTGCCCTGCCCATGGTGCATTCTGCTGCTTTCAGGCACACAGTGAGGCTGGGGTGGCTCTGCGGTTGGACTTCATTTGTAGGCAGCCCAGACAGCAGCAGCTCCTTCTGGCTGCCACCACCACCACCAGCCCCATGGAAACTGGTGGGGACCTGCAGATACAGCCCCGGCCCTGGCCCTGCCCCAGCCTACCTTGTGCCCACTATGGACCCGCCCTAACCGGAGCAGACCAGCTCTGGACCATATGGGACCCATGCACATAGCCGTGGCCCTAGGCCTTCTTATATCTGCTCCAGACCTGCCTGCCCAGGGTGATCAGTGGCAGCAGTTGCAGCGGCTTGGCAGAAGCTACTGCTGGGCATGGGGGGGCAAAGAAAAGACGTCACCTCCCCCTCACCGCTGCTGGACCTTTCTTGCTGCAGCTGCATGGAGCCCATGCCTGGGCTGCCCTGCAGCTCCTCTTTGTCACCATCACCATTGCCATCAGCGCCACCTCCGGGCCACCCAGCATGGCAGCAGTGACAGCGGAGAAAATGTGCAGGGCAACCCAGGCGCAGGCTCTGGGTGGCTGTACGAAGAAAGGCCCAACAACAATGAGGAGGAGATAGCCACTTTTCCCCCGCACCTGGCAGCAGCTTCTGCCTGGCTGCCACCTCTGCTCATCATGGACAGGCCAGTGTGGAGCTGCCACAAGGTGGCCTAGGCCAGGGCTGTGCGTGTGGGTCCCAGCTGCTCTCGCACTCTGGCCGGGGTGAGTCTGGAGCAGGTGCGGGGTGTGCAAGGGCTGTGCACTCAGTTGCTGCTGGGCACCAGTGGCGGTGGCAGGGAGGAACTGTAGGGTGCACAGGCTCCGGGCTGTTGTGGGCTGGGGAGGAGGGTGCTGACTGGCCCACAACAGCTCCCCAAAACTGCCTATGTAACCCATGAACCCAAATAATTGCCCACCCCTGCCGGTTAATCACTCTGGCACCATGCCCCTTTTTCTGCAGAATGTCCTTTATTGTCTTTAACCATAGACACTCATCTGAGGAGAAACTCAACCTTAAAGTTATGGAGCACAATTATACAAGATCTTTACTGCACAGTTGACTAATTACCTGTGCAGTAAACATCTCAGTGTCTACAAGTGCACCCCTATTATAGCACATAAAACTAATAAACTCAGCAACAGTAAATACAAGTACTACCCTGCTCCGGAGTTTTGTTGTGCACAGCAGTGCCCAGGCTGGTGGGCTGACTCCCTGAGCCCCCTGCCAGTTGGGGCTGTTGCAACCCATTTCAATGTGCTTCAGTCCAGGTGCATATGTAGACACAAGCTCGACAGCAATAAGCTAAAAGCTCTGGAGCTTATTGCTGCGCATTCACAGGCAGGTGTAGATGCGCCCACAGCATATTTCATCTTGGCCATCTTAGCAAGCAGAAGTAGAGCAGGTGTCAACAAAGGAGAAGCTGAAAATTCCTTTTATTCCTATTTTACTGGGATTGGCTCCAATGACATTATTTTATGTTTTATTATTAAGTACAGCCAATCCCAATAAAAAGAATATACATTTATATTAATGTGTTTATATACACACATGCACACAGTCTGATTCTTCACTTCTTGCAATTGTAGAGTTTACACTATTGCAAAGTGGACATGAATGGAGCTTAGCACTATTTGGATCTGCCAGCATGTTCCACCTACTGCATGTACCTAACATGCAGCATACTGGAGAATCAAGCCTATCCCATGGTAGGCATGTAGGAAATCACTGTTGAGTGCATGGTTTTCATCTCCCCATGGCCCTTGAATCCACTCTGGAACATGAAATGTAACTTCTGTCTAGGACAAGTATCAGAGAACTTAGTGCATCCTACTGATAATTATTATTCTTTACTCTCACCTCAGGTTCTTCGAATAGGACTCATGGGCTATAACTCCACCAAATTCAATGTCAACAGAGTCCTCCATGCCCTGAAAGATGCCCTCCAGCATTGTCACAAAAGCAAGATGTGAGTTCCTTGTGCTGCAGCTTCAGAAACAAGGATGGAGAGGCCAGCTCAGGCCTTGGTCATGCCATTATCTTATCTAGAATTCAAATCAGAAGGTGGAAAGGAGATGGTGCCCTCTTT